GTCCGTGATCAATGTGATGTAGATGAACTGTGATGCAGCTGCGTATGCCGTTCGCGTGTGCTGTGTGCTTGCATTGCATATTACTTCGATGTTGTTTCATCAAGTGACCAGTGGTGTATTGGAATTTTGGAAACTGTACCATGCATGGTTCACTGTGTATTGTATATCATGTTATGCTACTTTACAAGTGGTGTCACTACATGCTCTCTCTCGTAATCTCACGATTGGATATTTTGGACAACGAAAGCCCGATAAAAAATGTCAATCACTCTTGTCAGCCTACGTTCCTACCACAGAAGTAACAGTCTCCCACCTACCTAGATGGCGCTCCACGTGACAGTGTACCACCTCAACTTGCTGAACATATGGCAACGCTAACATACCCTCCTTAACCTCGATGCACAATTGTTACCCCATCACACACCGAAATCAAAAAACCCCATATACAGAAAGTAAAGTTACAGAAGACTGGCAGCTCATTGTGTTGCGGGTTTGCCGCTTGAGTAACCAATAACCTAAATTCCGCAAATAAATCTAACCTCAAATATTCCCTTGCACTTCTCTTCCAAGCAAATTATCGCCCATATGCAAATTACCGGACAGGTGTTAACACCATATCAAACTAAGACAGAGGGCAGCTCACAGGAGAGTGCATAGCTCCGGGGGCGAGCAGTGTCAACATGCTATGTGCTCGCTGGTGGCGGCTGCTGACTCGACTCGCCTGCTGCTGACATCGGCGCCGCTCACATGTGGCCTGCTGCTCAACGAAGTCGCCCACTTGCTGACTCCGCGACGCGCTAAATCTGGATCGCAAGAGCTGCTATACACCGACCATCACACCCACACACACAGCGCGCCACGCGATCAGTTTCACACAGGCACACACACCGCTCGGCGTCACACACACACGTCATCTTGGTTTAGTTTCCTTATGAAAGGTTTCGCATTCGTGCAACCTCCACGTGTTGTTACCGCTGGTCACCTAATTGCAAGCATTTTGTTGTGCAAGCGTTATACGCCATGTCCGTAATCTATTCTGCCGTGCACCACGTCGACCGCATTGCCCTGCAATACTGGTAAGAACCTTGTCTCCATTCGTTCATGATGTCTGCGTGATACTAAACACACAGCACAACATTCATCAACCCACCTCGTATTGCCAAATGCATGACAGGCATTATCTTCGCCACAACTGAATTCGAGACATGTACAATCACAGACTATTCACTACACCACTACTTTTGACGCATAACTTGCGCGTAAGTGCCAGTTTGCGCCTCACGAAATAAATAACCGGACAATGTCCCAATTACGTTTGTGGTTATGTATTCCAATTTCAAACTTCAAATTAACTGTGACAACCTCGATATCGTTTTCCGCTACGAGTAGCCAGTTGATCATCGCCGTGAAGAAGCCTTTGTGTTTATTTCGAAACGCACATATCTGGCATAGCAGATGGACTTTATCAACGACGCGTGGCCAGCTCTTATGTCTAGCACGCGCCATATCTGCTAGGGGCTCACCGCAAAAACCACTTATTTAGAAATATCTTCACATACACTACCTCACACACTACCGCTCAACCACCCACACTAAAAAATGACAAACATCACTTGAATAGTATGAATTTTGAGAAACAAAATCAAAAAGTGAAGTTTAGTATATAAACGAACTCAATACATTAATAAACGTGAGACTGACGATGCGATGATTTCATTAAGCTGTAGACATTTCCAAAAACCGTACAAACCCGCGATCCTCCTGATGAACCCGTATACTTAACTTAAAATTTTTGCGCACACTTCATAACCTTCCAGCTATTTTCCCGTTCCTGCTTTATAATTAACACAGCAGGATATACGTGACCTAACACTGTAGTATCTATAACACATCTATCCAGGGGAAGTATCGATTTTTTTATTACTCTGACAATAAACTGTCATAAGCTACATAGTTGACCCCTTCACACTATCATCGATGATACCGTAACCAGGGAACATTAACATGCGAATACATTTTAGCATTAGAGGCCCATACTGTGGGGCACTAATTGTTGATTCAGAGTGATCTCTGCCCCATCACAACAATGACGAATGGATGTATAAATTCGAACCACGCTGTTTGGTCTGCTCAAGATACCACTACACCACAATCTGCAGAACGAACAATCATTTCAAAGCCATACCACTAACGACACACTAGACACAACAACTCACGATAATATGGTAAATAGTAAATCAATACTAAAATACTAACGCTAATAAGACATATACCTATGTAGATCAACTCTTGCCATGATCACTTCCTCGCATTACTCCCGTAAATGTGTCCCCCCACACGAGCTATTTTACTAAGACGCGTGCACTGCGGGTCTCTGCGTAGATTCTTCCGTCACGAGCCGCAAGTAGTCTAAGAATCTTTCTGCGAGGTGCTTGCAAGTTTTAAATCACAAGGGCGCTGCGCGTGGACGTTCTACGAGGCGAGGCTGCTGCCTGGCTTGGCCAGGCCTCAAGCGCGCGACGCTGGTCGCTGGCGAACTCGATAATCGGAGTAATGCTGCTAGCTGTCATGATCAAGTAGTTTGGGACCGCGCCGCGCCAGATGTGTTTTTGCAACGTGTGCTTAAACAAACTCCGCGGCTTGGCCTAAAACTACCGGCCCTGGCCATGTCAATGACTAATAAAGGTTGATCGAAGAAAGGTTAAACGGAACCGTGTCATCCGTTGATTACCTTTGTCGCCATCTTCTCTTGCTGACATACATTCTACGCGTTATTCGAGATGCCACCCACAGGGTTTCCATCATCTCATTCCAGAGTGAGTTCTGGCCGGTGCGTGCGCTGTGGACGATCAACAACAAGCGCCACGTGAGTGATTTCTCCAGAAGTGACGGGCCGCGTCCATATGGCAGATGACGCCGCTGCGTTACCATGTCTACGGCTATGAACGAAAAAGCGTCATTACACAGCGAGCGTTGAAAGCTATAATCCTTGGTTCATCTGTCCAAGATGCACTCTCACATACGTGCTAGCACGCGATTCCATCGCTGGCAATGGAGACGTATAGTGTTCATATTCACAAACAGATATACCGTGCGATGCCATCGTCGTACCGCGAGGTCGCACCGACAGTCGACACTATACGCTGAGGAGCGAGCAGCCAGACGCTGAGGAAATCTTTTCGCGACCAAGAGCCAACTATTATTCAATTGTATAGCCATTGTAAGCACACAATTCAAGTATCACAAGCAGCATAAATTTTCATCTCAGCGCAACCGATCGCCCTATCCTGTAACCGATCCATTTTGGCGCTCCGGATCAAGTTTTATCCTCGATGCTACAAGTATTAAAAATATTGTTAGAATGCAATCGTGATACCACAATTTTGCCCCTACTCTGGTCCGCTTTTTTATAAGCAATAACAGACATGGTGTGTCGTGGTGTGTGTGTGTGTGTGTGTGTGTGTGTAGTGTGTGTGTGTGTGTGTATGCGGTCTCGTTAGCTGCTGTGGGATGTGTGTGTGTTGTGTGTGTGTGGTGGCGTCGAACAGTCGCGTGCGTGAGCGTGCCGGTCTTAGAGCCTATTGCATCTCAGTCGTAGATTGTGCATGGTGTTGTCGCTGTGTGTGTTTGTGTGTAAGTGTGTGTGTGTCGAGTGTGTAGGTGTGGTGTTGGCTGTGTGTGTACTGTACACTTGCATGTCGTCGTGTGTGTATACTGTGGCGAGCGCGTTTCGCGTGCGTGCAGTCCAGCGTGCGCTGCATGTTTGTGTGTGTGTGAGTGTGTATCGTGTGTGTGGTGCGTGTCGTGCGATGCGCGTGCGTGCGTGCTGTGGCGCTGTGCGTGTCTCTGGTGCGTGCGTAGCGCGTGCGCGTGCAGTCGTTGATGTGTGTGTTGTGTGTGGGTGTGTGCGTTTTGTGTGTGTTGTGTGTTTGTTGTGGTGTGCTGACCTCGGTACAGGCCCAAGTGGCGAGCAGGTAAGATGGCGCGAGACACGTGCGCGGTGGAAGCGTACGTCGTGAATAAGTGGGTATGCCGTCGTAGCGAAGCCGTAAGACTGCGGTGAGTTATGCGGTGTGTGCGTGCGTTAAGGCGACTCGTGGCGTTCGCACAGAGTCTGTCCAGAACGCTACGTCTACCACCAACACAGTCTTCGCTTGGTAATCTTCAGTAATCATCACGTTCACATTCCGTGATCCTTGTGCCAAATCTCGTATTACTCCGCAGCAATAACCCTCCCATACAAGGAACCACTTACAACGCCATACAACCACGCCTGAGGCGTCGCCTACGATCTTTATGACGAGTTACATAGTCAACCATATAGGCCTAGCCGTAACTAGCGTAGACGGTAAAGCATCCGCAACGACCAACCTCATGTAACTAAACCGTACAGTCCTAAGTATCCCATCACCGACTATTCGTATACCAATAGACGCAATCCATTCCTCTCTCCTCGGTCTCGTCCTCCCCGTCTACTCTCTCCAACGCCCCCCCTGCGGAATTACTCTACCGTCCTTGCGTCATCGTCATCTCTCTTCTCTTCTCTCTCTCAACATCACAGAAAAGGCAGTTGTGAATAGTTTCTACTGTAAGTCCAAATACTGATTTTTATTTTTATACTTTATTATGCTCCCCGAGGGGGTGCAGATGTGATGACACGACCGATAACAATCGCCAGCGCGCACGCAGCGCCGTGGCTTACGTTAGCAGACACTTCTGGCCGCCACCCCTGCTTGATCTCATCCTCTCCAGCCCCCGCGCAACTAATCCGTCTCCATTGATTCGGCCCCGATGTTCAGTGAAAACGCACCCAATGCATGAGCGTCGCGAGCAGCCGGCAGACAAAACCGAGCGCACCTTGCTCCGCAGTACACACACACCACGTGAAGACGCTCACAGATATACGACAGCCGTTGTATCGCTCTAGCGATATACATTACTCATAATATATACTACCTACTACTATACTATATATTATATAACAACCTAATATTTCTACACGTTTAATGCTCTCGTTTTTACGCCATCTACCATGCTCGCGCAGTTATGCTTGACTACTGCAACTTAATTGAGCTTCGGACATACGCCCGCGTCCATTTAGTCCCGGAATAGCGTGTATGAACAACCCTGGGGCGACTGGCGCACACATTCGCAGCTCGCGCTGGCCGGACTATCTTTAAAATGTAGGGAATCAAAATTTTGCAGTCTGTAGCGCTCAGCCTATGAGCATAGCTAATATATTCGACATTAGAATCCTGGCCTCGTTGCTCGTTAATCCACACGGCCTCGCCCTTCCAAACTAATGTATTTTAATGTATTTATTAACTCCCCTAACCAACTGTTATAGAAGACAGAACTAATGTCTTTCATTAAACTACCCGTATCCAGTGAACAGCCACATTCGTCCATACAAGAAACCCGCATGAGGAGTGTATAGATATAACGAAGATCCCTTATAGATATAACACTCCTGACCAGTAGGCCACTACGCATAAGTCCACGTCGTGTGGTTTCACGACTCAGGTATAGACATGTGGCGACATAACGCATAACACGGATCGTCTCGTGTGTCCGTGCTGTATTAGATCAAACATCGCCATCCGCTCACCGCAGCACACGGAGCCATCGTCAGTCACAAGTCTCCCAGCCTACGCAAATACACCGACTGCTATGCTATATATAAATATTAAATACTATGGGAGTGACAGCCCCCTGACTACAGTGAACATGATATAGCCGCATCTATATTCATACGTGTTGCTGACACGCCAATACGTCATATCCTGCCAATATATACAGAGTACATACATGATCAGGAGTAACATGATACGGCGAGATTCTGTACGCATGTGCTGCTGGACGATATATACGAGTACAGTACATGATCAGGGATAACAATGAATGCCATCTGCATTCATGTGCTGCTGTGCTATAATCCACAGCCGTCGCAGCGAGAGACCACCGGGTTCCATTACACTGCCGCCGCGCTACACTCGTTCGCGCTACACGATCGCCCGCGAGCTTCATATGCTTTTTAGCATTGAAACTACAAGTGCCATATAAATGAGCACAGCGATACTGACACCGACGTTACGAGGGCAGCGATTAGAAGGCGTAGATAGAAACCAACCCGGCTCTGGAATGTAACAATGGAACACTGCTGGTCGTCTATGCGCTCGCGGACTAGACAGAACACACACACACACACACACCTAGTAACGAGCTGCTGCTGCCTGGACGTTCTAAGGCGAGCTGCTGCTGGCTGGCCGGCCTAAGGCGAGCTGGTGCTGAATCGATAATGGAGTAATGTGTACTGTCAATGGATCAAGTAGTTTGGGACCCCGCAGATGTGTTTTTGCACGTGTGCTTAACAAATCCGGGTTGCTAAACTAGGCTTGGGCCATGTCAATGATATAAAGGTTATCGAAGAAGGTTAAAGGAACGTGTCATCGTTGATTAATTGTCCATCTTCTGTCATCATCAGGTAAGACATCGTAGTTCTCCGGCCCACAAGCGCCTGAGTGATGTTCTCGCAAACAGGGACAAGAACTTCTACGTGTTCATGAACGAATTTCACAAGTAAGTCGTATCCGTGGCGACAAGGGCAACGCACAACTGGATTTCCAATATGTCCTTTAGCAATCAAAGTAAACATACCCTCTTAACCATCAGTTGTCTGGCAAATATTAAATGGACGTTTACCTTGGCCTTAATTGGTCGCTACCCCTTAATCTATCATAGCAATCATCCTTAGGCTATCACACTCTGACTCTTACTACTGTTACATCTTTGGCCCTTGCTGCCATTAGATCTCTTAACCTTACTCTGTCAGAGCTCTAACCCTTACTCTATCACAGCTCTAGGCATTACTTCATCTCAGCTCTAACTGTTACTTTATCACCGCTCTAACTCCTATTCTATGATGCCTCCAACCTTTACTGTGTCTCAGCTCTAACTGTTAATTTATCACCGCTCTAACCTCTATTCTATGATGCCTCCAACCTTTACTGTATCTCAGCTCTAACTGTTACTTTATCACCGCTCTAACCTCTATTCTTTACAAGTGGTGTATACTGCTCTTCTGTAATTTCAGATTGATATTTTGGAGCACGAAGCCATAAAAAATGTCATCACTCTTCAGCTCGTTCTACAAGAAGTAAGTCTCCCTATAGATGGCGCTCCAGTGACAGTGTAACCTAGCTGCTACAATTGGCAACTACATACCCTCCCTTACCTCGATGCACAATTGTTACCCTCAACACCAATCAAAAACCGTATACAGAAGTAAGAAGTACAGAAGACTGGCAGTCATTGTGTGGTTTGCGCTTGGTATACAATAAACCTAAATTCCCAAATAAACTAACTCTCAAATATTCCTTGACTCTCTTCAAGCAAATTATGCCCATATGCAAATTACCACGGTGTTACACATATAAACTAGACAGAGGGCACTCACGGAGAGTGCATAGCTCCGCGAGCATGTAACATGTATGTGCTCGCTGGTGGCGGCTGCTGACTGACTCGCCTGCTGCTGACTCGCCGCTCACTGGTGGCTGCTGCTGACTAGCCACTCGCTGACTCGACGCGCTATCGATTCGCCGCTCACTGGTGGCTGCTGCTGACTCGCCACTCGCTGACTCGACGCGCTATCGATTCGCCGCTCACTGGTGGCTGCTGCTGACTCGCCACTCGCTGACTCGACGAGCTATCGATTCGCCGTTCACTGGTGGCTGCTGCTGACTCGCCACTCGCTGACTCGACGAGCTATCGATTCGCCGTTCACTGGTGGCTGCTGCTGACTCGCCAATCGCTGACTCGACGA